CTCTCTCTCTCTCTCTCTCTCTCTCTCTCTCTCTCTCTCTCTCTCTCCACATGTGCCTGAATCAAGGCTCTCGCCCTTGCACCGGCCTTGATCTTCAACCACATTCTGGAGTCCAGGTTTGGAAAGCCAGCCCTCGGGAGACGGGTGGCTTCAATGAAGTTCAATCCCATTAAATCAATTTAAATGTTATAACATTTTAAATGAACCAAATGATTTGATCACATTATCTAATCGTCCAATAATCACCCCGCTCCACTGCCACTGCTGACCTGCAGTCACTGACTCAGCGCGTAGAGGTGAGGGTTTTACTGTATACTAACTGTACCATGACATTCCCGAGATTATTCCACGCTGCTGGATCACGTGGGTCAGCATCAAGCACCGCCTTATAATCCATGGCAGCTTCCTCGTACCGCCCCAAGGACTCTAATACAACACCACGATTGAGGACGGGGTCGATGGCATACCTGCAAGTCCACAAACATAAAGGGAGGTGTCGTTACCCCAGCCCATGTGACTGAATTGCACATAAGGTGTCATACGCTTAACTGTTGATGAAGAGCACAGGTTGCTCCCTGCGAATAGATTGGAGCATTTGTCCCCCCCCCACAAAAAAAAAAAAAAAAAAAAACAGAACAAAAAAAGATGGAGAAAAACGGAAAACAAAAAAAAAGAAAAGGCAAAAACAAACAGAACGAAAGAACCTAGTCAATAATCAAGGCAGCTTCTTGTAGCTAACAGCAATGAATTGACAGAACACAACCATCGATGCTGAAATCCCGAAACACGCGCTTACAGAGTCTGATGTGTTAGTAAACATAGATTGGTTGGTGCTTTTCCAGTCTTCTGCTGCTTTGGTGCCTTTTCAGTCTTCTGCTGCTTTGCATTGTTATTTCTCCTCATTTTGGTCTCCTTGGTCCTACACCGTGCCCATCTTCTCATGGGCATGCAACATTCCTCCATCTCCCATCTTGCACTTTGTCTGTGTATGACGACAGCGGGGGGGTGTCTTCTGTGTCTGGACCCCTCCCCTGCTGCTTTGAGATAGGACTTTTTAAGTCACATCGTTTGTTTGTTTGTTTGTTTGTTTGTTTGTTTTTTTGTTTTTTGTTTGTTTGTTTGTTTTTTAATTTAGACCATTTCTCGATTTATGCATGTCATCCTTGTGCAGGGACCATGCTAACCTTCTCTGTATCGTTCCAATTTTAACGGATCTCCCATGAAACGTTGTCATTTTGCTGCATTATCAGATCATAGCTATCTGATTTCAGTCTTGCGCTGTGTTGTATTCCAGCTCTTCGCCATGTTCGTAAATTTTGGACTTTGCAGTGCCCCAGATCAACATCACACACACACACACACACACACACACAGAGAGAGAGAGAGAGAGAGAGAGAGAGAGAGAGAGAGAGAGAGAGAGAGAGAGA